TTTCACTCCATCCAAGAATTTTCATCCGATCCAAGAATTTTCACTCCATCCAAGAATTTTCATTCGATCCAAGAATTTTTACCTGATCGAAGAATTTTCACACGATCCAAGAATTTTTATTCGATCCAAGAATTTTCATTCGATCCAAGAATTTTCATTCGATCCAAGAATTTTCACATGATACAAGAATTTTCACCCAATTGAAGAATTTTCACCGGTAACTCGCGTGTGTATGTGCGTATTGTACCCGACAAAACCGAAAAAATGGCACGAAAGAGGTCCAATTTCTACAATATATCTCTTCCAGACGTGGACGTGAGCACGTTTTTCGATCAGCTTGGGCAGCAAGTGATTTATACAGCTTGCGTTGGTCTACTGGAACGAGCGTTCCGCTGCCTTGGGAACAATCTGACAGCGTTCCTGACCACTCTCGACGGCGTGAACGACGTGGTGCAACATCAGTCCGGATCCGAGGCGGAGGCAGAGTTCGTATGCATCGCCACGCCGGAAGCGATCGAGCTCCATTTCACGACAGATCACCCTTCTGTCGCGTATTTACTGGTCGGAAGTCTGAAGGGTATCGCAAGACAGTTTTACAACGACGATGCCAATGTATACATTCTACCCGATCCCTACAATACGAAATTTTTTAGGTAAGTTTCCCGCGAATTTTACAAAATTCTATATTGTTATATCGATTGTCTATAAGTAAAATATTATTGTACGAAATATTCGAGGATATTATACGAAATAATAGGATATTAAGAATAAATAAAAGAATCAAAAGGTTTATATAAAATTTCGTAAAGTTTGTAAGTTTTATTTAAAAGATAAAAGAATACATAGAATCTTCAGAAAGATGAAAAAAAATATTAAGTAGAGTAATTTAATGTGCATTATGCAAATTATAAAACAAATCAATTAAAGATATGCCAATATTCGTTTAACTTGTAGTATAAATCTAATAATTCTTTCCTCTCTTTCTTCTTTCTTTTTTTTTTCAAGTTCAGCTCATTCGCATAATAATGAGAAAAATTGTACGTGACCAAGTTAAAGGATGAATATTTTTTTATAGATATTTTTTACACTTTGTTACGATCCATATAGAGATGAAATGAGCGTGTGTACATGCCGTGTGTTTAAATATGGAAATTTTAATATAGTTCGTATGCAAAGTGGCGTATACCAAATATATGGAAAAGATGGAAAGGGCGAAATTTAATCCGAAAAGCGGTTTAATTACTTTTTATTCCGCTTCGATTATATCGTTGAAACGAAGATATGCGCATTCGAAATCTGGCCGATTGCCGATTCATTGATCTCAAAGCGACGCGTTTGAAACGTATGATAAGCATCGATCTAGCTCTACGTTGAAAAGAACAATATTTAGTATTTACGCGTTCGATACGTAAGCCGTGTTGACATCGTTCAATTTACATACCGATATTGAAAGAATTCTAGGAATCGCGCTATGAAGTGGACAAATAACGATGTTTGCCGACATTTAAATCGTAAACACACGGATTTATCGATTTTAAAGAGTTCATTACACATTCGACAATGATAAAAAATTCTATTAAACTGTAATTCTGGCGAATGGGAATCCGATTCTCTTATTCCCTAAGAAGAGCCTTTCCTCAAGAGTTCTGTAATTAATTTCTGGATTCGACTTAATTAACGTATTCCTTTAAGAATAATCTTTATTCTTAAAGATTACGTATTAAATTAAGAGCATTTTAGTAGAATGAGAGATTCGAATCAATTCGATCGCTTTCCCGTGATCATGAAATTTGAAGTATAAGGAAAGTCACCTTACTCTTCTAATATATATAAATTTATTATATATAATATAAATTATTATATATAATATAAATTTATTAAATATAAATTATTAAATAACTTATTAAATATAAATTATGTTAAAGAATTACATCAAAGAATTACCCTTAAAGGCATTCTGTATCGTACACTTGTAATAATTTAACGAATTATTTAACAGGTATCGTATCACTCCAGAACTCTACAGCGAGCATTTGGTAGTACCAGAAATCGACGACAATCTGGAGACCTCCCTGTTCCGTCCATTGTCGACCGAAGCCACGGATCTTCGTATGGGAGTAGCTAGTTTTTGCAAAGCATTTCCATGGCATTTCGTGGTTGATCGGCAATTAGAGCTCGTGCAGCTTGGAGTCGGATTCATGAGGATTTTCGGCCATCATCTAAACCGTTTGGGAAGAGAAATATCGACGTATTTCACCTTTACACGACCATGCGGAATTACTTTGACCTTTCACGAGATATTGAAACGCGCGAACACGCTCTTCGTCCTCACCCTCCAAAGACCTCAGGATGTCGATAAATATCCAGCAGAGGTACGTGAATACATTACCCTTATCGGGAGATCAGTAATGTTGTTACACGTTTTAACAAACGTTTGTCGCATGTGTCCACGTATACAAGTGAAAAAAATCGAGCTTTTAATTTTCGAGAATCAAGATGGTGATGGTAATTTCCATTTCAAATGAATATTCTGATTTTCTCGTTTCCCGAAATAAAAGAATCCAATGCTTTTTTTTTCACTCTCGTTGAAATAAGAGAGAAAATCGAATCGATTCGTAGAATAAAAAATTATATAACAGATTTGAAATTTTTCGAATTGAATTTTTTTTTTTTTAATGAAGATTGGCATACATTTTTATTTATCGATAGAAAATTATATTGCGTTGTAAGATTCTTCGTTTAAAATGCTCGAATATTATACATTATCCTTACATAAGAAATAGCAATTCTCATCGAATTTTTAAAATAATTAACCGATAAGATTTCAATTATTTTCAGGGTTTAGAGATGAAAGGTCAAATGGTCCATTGTCCGGAATCAGATTCCATCCTGTTCGTGAGTTCACCATTTTTGAATGGCTTGGAAGGATTAACTGGCCGAGGACTTTTTATATCCGATATTCCATTACACGACGCTACGAGAGACGTTATCCTGGTGGGGGAACAGGCTAGGGCACAGGTATAATAAAATTCACGTATCATTTTTTTCTGGTATCGTCGCATTTATATTTATAGAATTCATGCAATGGATAATATTATCCGTTCCCTTAAACGATGCATTATGTTTGGAGCGGGACGAGAGAAATTTTCAGCGTGCAATTTCATATCTCGATGAAAATTTTATTTGTGGATAAATCTCGTAAAATATTCATTGGGATTTTCAATTGAGTGGAGTAGATTTAATATTGTGCATTTTAAAAGACGCGTCTCTTCGAAAGGATTTTGAATCCTCGAGTTAGAGGGCGTTAGCGTGCAGAGTGTGCATTTCAGATGGCGTTAGTGTTCAATGGGTTGAATTAAGCATACGTTGATAAAGTCGTTCTTTGATGACTATAAAAAAAATAAACTTATCAGTAGGAAAAAATGATACACAAATATTCTTTTTTTACAGGAAATTTTTAAATGAATTTTGCATGAATATACAACTAATTATTAATTTTTGAAAGCACAGGGATTTTTCTATTAAACTTTATTCATTGACTGCATATAACTTAATAACTCGTTTAAATATTTTTTCTTTTTTTTCTTATTTACAAATTGTTTAATTAATCATGCATAAATGTAGTATGAAATAAAATAAAAGTTTCTCCTGTAGGATGGTTTGAGAAGACGAATGGATAAATTAAAAAGTTCCATAGAAGAGGCAAATCTTGCTGTGTCTGCAGAAAGAGAAAAGAACGTCAGCTTGCTTCATCTTATATTCCCTCCAGATATAGCGAAACGTTTATGGTTGGGTAAATATTTCAATTTGAAACTGAGAAAAGTTCCTTTGCATTCAAATAATTTTCCCTTTTTTATAATTATCTGTTAGGAGTTATAATTTTGTTCCAATTAAATTTTTACTTTCAGGAGAAACAATCGAGGCAAAAACTTATCCTGAGGTAACGATGCTTTTCAGCGATATCGTCGGTTTCACGGAAATTTGTTCCACCGCGACACCGATGATGGTCATTAACATGCTTCAAAATCTTTATGAACAGTTCGACTCGTTTTGCGGTCAGTTGGATGTTTATAAGGTGCGAATTTTATTTTATTTTCTATTAAATTATAATAACTTCTATTCGATATTGTAACGTCAAGTTTCCTTTATTAATTAAAATCAAAATTTTAGGTGGAAACAATCGGAGACGCTTATTGCGTGGCATGTGGCCTCCATCGTGACACTTATATTCATGCACAACAAATAGCTTGGATGGCCTTAAAAATGATACAAGCATGTTCTCATCATCTAACTCACAAAGGCAAACCAATTAGGGTAAGATTCATAATCAATTTATTCTTTCTCTTTCAAACAGATAATATACATTAAGATACAAACAGTTAAAAGTAATTTAACTTTAATCTTAAAATAATATTGATTCATATTTTACAATTCTCTGACATTTAAGTTAGATTAATTTCTAAAATTATTAAAACTTTTCCTATTTGAATTATTTTGATCGTTATAATACAGAGGTAAGTAAATGCAGTTAACTTTAAAAGCAAAAGTTATAATATAATAATTTAATAATTTAAGTTAGTAATTTATTACTTTGTACCAATTTACATTTTATATATTTAAATATCAAGTTGTTAAAGTTTTTAAATTTTCTTGTTGTATTTACAATGCCTTGGAAAAAGAATATTGTCAATTTTAGATAATATAATAAATATAAAACTGAAAATTAATATATTAAACTGTATTTCTATCTTTTTAGATGCGTATTGGAATTCACACTGGAATGGTATTAGCGGGTGTTGTTGGGAAAAAAATGCCAAGGTATTGCCTTTTCGGGCACAATGTTACCTTAGCTAATAAATTCGAATCTCTAAGCGAACCACTTCGTATACACGTTAGTCCAACGACGTATATGTAAGTAATCTTTATCTCAATTTTTATTATAATAATCCAAAAATTTATTTCTTCGACTCGTTTATCACTCCAATAAATTAACTATATAAAACAATATTAAAAAATATTGACACGTTCTATTATTTAATATTATCATAAAATAAATTTCACATAACTGACATTGTCATCTGTTTATGACAGCTTATTGAAATATCCTATATCAGGATTCGATCTGGAACCACGACAGAAAGAATTTCTGCCCAAGGAATTCCCAGCTAACATAGAAGGAACGTCTTATTTCCTGAACGATTACAAGCACAAGGACGTGGATGTGACTCTACCGTTGGATCTGCATATTCAAAGCGCGATCAGGGAATACAGTCTTGGAAGCACTGTGTAGATATTTAAATAATAAAAAAGAACCATTCCAACGAATGTGCGTCGTTCGTGAATGTCGCTGTACCAATTGCTACTCTGTCCATAATAACAACAATTTCTCGGTAAACGTCTGTTCTCCAATCAATTCACAAAACTGGCACCGTGTAACGACGCTGATTCTAACCAGCCTAAACAGCCGATTACCTGGCCCGATAATATTTATACGCAGAGTTTTAGGTTACAATTATATACTTATGATTATATGAGCAAATAAATCTGTATGATAATTCGTCTAATTATTTTATTCTTAACGAATATTATTACGTAAAGTGCACCATCTAATGTGACCGTTTAGATTAATTTTCTTACTCCTTGAATCGATTCTTTGTATTATAATCATTATTTCGTTGCATAAAGAGAATTATTAAGTTATTTTTAAGTCCGTCGAATTCGAAGTTACGAGAAATTAAAGATCAGTGAAAAAAAACTTTGTATTGCTTCATTAACAACAAAAAATACTCACATTAAATGATTATTCAACCTATGTATAATTTATATTTAATAATTCTTCTAAACTAAAGTTAGAATTCAATAATTTCTTTATCGTATGCATACAATATTTCTTTATCTAATTAAAATTGTTAAGAAATAAAGAATTTAATTCCAATTTCCTTTCATACTAAATCGGTCCAAATTTAAAACATTTAATTTTGTTAATCCAACTTTTTTGCAGTCAATTTTTATCAGCAAATAATATCTCAATTCCCATTTTCAACATCGAGAAATGGTTACCGCTAGTCGATACTGTCGCAATCTTTTTCTCTTCTTTATCTAACCCTTTGAAGCCAGTCGGTCTCTTTCATTTCTTGATAAAGACTCGCTCTAGACTCGAATCTTGCACAACACCGATCTTTATTCTCCGAAATAATAGCTATTCGTATTCCTTAACGAGGCAGCCGGTTATCATAACGAATTGTTGTTGTCACATTGCGTCCGATCATAGCTTTTTCTTTTCCCTCTCTTTGCTCCGCACGAGTGTGTTCTACCGGTGGCGCATTTTTCCTGGAAACATTACTTATTTACCATGAAACGTTACGTTCCCGTGAACACGTCCGTTCCGCTTTCCTCCCCGGCGGTTTTTCTAGATTTCAGACGTTTATCGGTGACGTTAATATACTCGGATGCCGTTTTATTTGGCTGAATTCCATTGTAGGTGAGAAAGAAAGGTGAAACGAAAAGGAAAACGAATGGAATAACGAGTGAAACAATTATATTTAATTGTAACATTAAAAACTTACGAACTGCATCTATGTTGGATCAGTTTCTAATTTAATTACATTCCAGGATGGTCAATTATGTATGAACTCTCTTGGCGAATAATGAGATGGCAAAGAATTGGATGTATTCTTTTGTAAAATTCCAAGACGAAAATTTATTTTTCTCGCGAGAGATGGTTCTAAAAAAAATATTGGACATCTGCTTTTTTTTATTGATTATCATCCATATTGAAAAAATGAAAATAACTTTTAGCAAAGTTGGAAAAAAATTGGAAATTGGAGGATGTGGGAATAAATTTTTAAAAATAACTTTTATAATAAAAAGGTAACGGGGTATCCGATATTATAATTATCAATATTTTCAAAAAAAATATTCGAGAGAATAAGAAAAATATATATTTAATTTCAAATAAATAAAAAATTTTGATTAATACGGAATCATTGAACAACTTATTTGATTTTAAAATTGCTTTTTATTTATAAATAATAAATAACGAAAATTCTCTCTCTATGATGTTCAATTAAAAACTTTTGATATTAAGTATTGTTTGATAAATATAACAAGGAAATATTTTATTATAATTTTATAAGGCATTTACAAATCGTAAATTCAATAGTATTTTTTTTCTTTGGTTATTGAACATTTTTTTTTTTCAATTTTAATAAATTCTCTTAACATCGTTGTCATTATTTTCGGATCTTCTTGCTCGAGATTTTTGAGTTTTCGATATGAACAGATATTTTCCATATTTGATAGAATTTACTTTTCATTTCGGACAATAATTAAAATATATTGATAATCAATGTATATAACATAGTGAACATTTGAATACGATACAATTAATTGCATTAAGAATTAAAATGCAAATAACAGCTTATTGTAAATAAAATATATATTGACATATTACGAAGTAATAAAATATAACGTAACTAAATTACATTTAGGGAAAGTTCTCTATAATTTACTTTAAAATTTAATTTCAATTTTAATCAATTTATATACAATTTCATTGTACGATTTTCTTCGATTTTATTATTGTTAAACTTTCTTTTAAAACATCACCTATATCAAAACGACATTTAACACAAAAATACGAAGACGATGAAGAATTAATCACAGTGTTGCAATACATCATATTATTACATCATTATTAATTTCTCATAATATAATGAAACGAGGAGTTTCGTTTCGATAATAATCTGATTAAAACTATGAAGAACATTTTCCAATTCAATAATTAATCATAAACTAATCTCTTACAAACAATTACAAAATTCCATTACTTAAAAATTCATTTACTCGTCAAATAATAGATCGCTTAATGTTTAACGATAACGTTAACAAAATATAATAACACGATGATCTATCACACTTTCATAAATTAACTGTTCGAGCAAACTTTACTTTCGAAATTTAGAAACGATGGCGCACGATGGATCAAAGTTTCCGGTACCCGCGGGAATAGGCAATCACGTGGCGGATCGAAAGGTCCCTGCACCGGCTCGTATTGTTCCGGCTTTTTGGCGCATGGTGCACGTGTTATTTCATCGGTGACCACAAAAGAAAACGGAGGCGTGTACAGCGTGTAAAAACTAAAAAGCCGGAAAAAGAAAAGAAATTACAAAAGAACAGGCACCGGTTGCCTGTTAACGGAGGGGAAGGGAGTCTATACATTCGAGCATACTCCTATATATCTGGCCGCGTGCTTTTTTCGCGTGCCTCGCCTGTATAAACGTACCTTTACTATTTCTTATGCTGCCATTCATCTCAACGAGACCCGCGGCCGTGCAAAGAGAAAGAAATTAAACATTGGGCCTTCCGGCTATGCCGCGTAATCAAACGCCGCTGAAACTAACGAAGCAGCTTGCGGGATGAGACAGACAGAGCCTGATATCAAAATATAAGAAACGGATACAGAGAGAGAAAGAGAGAGAGAGAGAGAGAGAGAGAGAGAGAGAGAGAGAGAGAGAGAGAGAGAGAGAGAGAGGAAGAGAGAGGAAGAAAAAGAGGACACGCAGGAATAGACATAGGGGAAATAATAACTTAGATGACGTGCAATGAAAAGTATAGAGAGAAAGATAGGGCAGAAAGATGGAGGAGAATGTCTTCCGTTATCCAGGACGAGTATCGCGAGTACTTTGGTCGTGTAATATCTCTCCTCTCTTCAAAGATATGACTATGGTCGAACGAAATTGCACCTAATGGTACAAAATGACGAGGGACAGCGAGAGACGAGCAGACGAGAGAGAGGGTAGATGACGGAAGAGAGATCGACGTATAGATAGAAGCTACAGTGGTCGTCGAAAATTAATCAGATTTTATATTATTCGAGATGAATGGCGACATATTTTTGGTTCGAGTTATCAACTATATATTATACAATCGTAATGTTTTGTCCATTTATCCGGAAGATCCACGACAATGAAATTAAGCTCCATTGAACATCGGAGGATGGTGAGCGAGCGATAATTTCTTTCTTCCACTGCCTGATTCGTAATAACTCGAATTTGGTAAATATATTCTGTTTGGGTTTGCAGTATCTCCGCTTCACACTCGAAATGTACATTATTCCATTTGAACGAGTGTATTGTTCCTGTGACAGGATGCCTCCTTGCGATAGATTGCTCGTTGTACTCTAATGCACCGAAGTAGGTAATCGATTAGCGAACACTTCTCCTCAATTCGAGAATCGTCGAACTCCAGATTATTAATTAGACGTGTATATAGCTATGCAAAATTTCAAAAGTTTCATTTTAACTGGGAACACGGGAATTTGCCAATTGAATCGTGAATGAAATTCAATTCGTAATATATCCTTTAAATAACATAATCGTTGAATGAAACTATATATATATATATTTTCCTTAATATTCCATGTTATTACCATGAAATTATTCGAGTGAAATACGTTTTGTTAAATTAATCATAATAATTTGGTTTAGTTTCTCTTCCTCTTTCTTTTTCCCTCCGTCCTATGAATTTATTATTTATTAATTATTTCGATTATGACAGAAATACGAAGGAAAGAAGAAGAGGCGGAGAAAATTAAATTAAATGAAAAGTTAATTAATAGCAACTAACAAGCGAGTTAACCTTCATTTTTATCTAGATAACGTAAATATTTTAATAAGATATTCACATGGTTAAACGCTGGTGGCGGGATATTTCAACTATCCCAAGTTTAATATACATAGCATTATCTACATTCTCCGTTTAATTACATTCTCTTAATAGTTTGTAACAGCTTCGAGTAAGTTGACACCAAGAGTTTGGATGATATTAAGAAATCATTTATTTACTTTGAAACATTCGAATCGGTTAGAAATTGTTCTGATTATTGGTAATTAATTTTTTGTTATTATTTTTTATTAATTAAAAAATATACCAAACTATATTTGAGACGAATTTTCGAAAGAGAAACGGTATTCGTAAAAATATGAATATAAGAATAAAGTATTTATGGTAGGAACAAAAGAAAAGAAAGCGAGGAAAAATTATGCACCGCGGAGTTCTGTAGTTATAAAACTACTCTTAATGAGTGGAAACTTGGGTGGACACTGTATTTAATTGAAGTAATGAAAGTTTACCAACTAGGTAAAAAAAATACTTGTTAGATACTGTATTTATTTTTCATACTTTCGAATTAACTAATCGCGTTCCTAAATATCAAGACTTGAATTATACATAATTCTTAATGCAGCATTGTATTCAAAATTAAAACAATTTGAAAAAGCATGAAATATCTGTTAATTTTTATTCAACTTTT